TGTAAAGATGAACAGTCTCTGAAACTCTCCAGAGGGCCAGGGTGAGCCAGCAATGCGTTCTGGGGGTGGAGTGGGTTATATCCACGAATCAGCATTTTGAACCTACCTGCAGGAGAATGAAGAGACTTTCTGCTCTCATAATGATGTACAGCCTTGGGACCCACACGGGGCCGCTCCACTCTGTCCTATAGGGTTGCTATGAGACAGAACTGACTAGATGGCAGTGAGCTTTTGAGGGTGTGTGTCAGAATAACCTCTATGGCAGTGGGTTTGGTTTTAGAAGAGGAATTGGGTTCATGGCAGGACATACAAGTAAGACCTCAAGACATTTATTTAGAGATAGGGACTCAGAGTTGGCATTTACACTCAATGTTTAGAGTCTAAATAGCTAACTTTCAGATGGTCTTGGAAGGAAAGCTTGATCGTAGCGGGAACTCAGTGAAGGTCTCTCATAAAGAGTGAGGATATTGGCAGGGAGTAGAGACTCAACAGGCTCCCAGTCCTCAGAAAGAGTAAGAGATGACAAAGAGAGATTCATTTTACCTTTAACTTCTCTCATGAGTGTGCAAAGATTCAGGCTTCATGTCTAACATTTTCACTCTGGCTTCACAGATTCAGTAACTGCCAGTGGGATGTCCGACTAGTAGGTTACGTCATCTCTCCATATAGAGTTCTACATGATTTTTAAGGTTAGAGACAGGAAATTGTTTAAATTTATGTCTCAAGGTTAATTTACAAAGATTAAATATGCTGGGTTTTCTTTTATCACACCATGCAGGGACATGTCCACTTTAAGGTTATCTACAACATACTACATCTATTTCACATATTTCTATATTTCTATGTCTAAATTCAGAAATGTTGTACTGTACTTCTAAGCACCATTCTAGGTACATTATGATGGTTACAGAAAGAACATTACAAAATCATATATGATTTAAGATCATTAAGAACTATACAAAATGCCTACATAACAAGGAGGTATACAAAAATGTTTATTGTTAGGGAACAATAAATAATAAAATGCCACGTGACCCATTTAACATTAGTAAAAGAGTTAAGCTCTACTTTATAAAGAACACTTCCAACTCGTAAGCCAACAGATTAACAGAGGCCACAGGAGCCCTGGGGGCATAGTGGTTATCTGCTGGGCTGCGAACTGAGAAATCAGTCCTTTGAGCCCACCAGCTTCTCCGGTGGAGTGGATCAGACTTTCTGCTCCTAGAAAGATTACAACCCATAGGGGAATTTTTGCTCCGTCCTATAGTGTCCTTATGAACCAACTCGGTGGCAGTGAGTTTTTGTTTGTTTTTAGTTTTGGAAACACTATTGCAAGATCAGCAATTTGCAACCACCAGCTTCTTCATGAGAGAAAGATGAGACTGTCTACTCCCATAAAGAGTTACAGTCCCAGAATCCCACAGGGCAGTTCCACTCTGTCCTAGAAGGTCATTATGAATTGAAACTGACTTGTTGGCACAGACAGTTTGATTTAGGAGATGCTATTGAAACTATATTGGGGGGATAATAATAAATAAATATGGAAAAGGATACCAGGATCCTTAAAAATGGAATAGAAAAATAATAATTACATATGTTTGTTAAATGGTCAAAAATTTTAGAATTACGTTCTTTTCTAGGGCTGCCATACAAAGTAAAGAAAAGAGGTGGCTTAACACATTTTATTGGGTTAAGAAATTTGTCTCACAGGTGCTGAGGCTAGATATCTGAGTTGAAGTGCTGGAAGGACCATGTTCTCTCTAGGGTTTTGCCATTCTCACTTCCAATGAACATTCCAACAGTGCTTCTTTCAAAAGAAGCTTGTTTTTCCTGGTAGTCCATGGTACCTTCAATATTCTTTAATAACACAATAATTCAAATGCATCAATTATTCTTCACTTTTCCTTATTCACTGTCCAGCTTCCACATACACATGAGGTTATTGAAAATGCCATCACTTGGGTCAGGCGCACCTGAGTGCTCAAAATGACACCTGTGCATGTTACAACAGACTATGGGTGGAGAATAAAGAGAATTACAGAAATTTAATTGTTCTCATGTGGAACCTGTACACCTTATGTAAAGCAGCCATAAATGTAATTAGTGCAATTATTTTGGAAAATATTTGATAACATTGACCCATTGCAATCGATCTATTTTTAACCAGGTAACTCCAATTCTAGGTATAATTCTAAATTTAAAAAAAGATATTTCACTGCATAAAGATTTTTCATGCCACATTTTTTAGAATAGTGAAACTCTGCTTCTGCATTCGGCGCAGAATGAGGAAATCAATTACTAAATGAATAAATTTCTGGAAACCTTTCCAAGCACAAGGACACCTGCTACATAGCAGACATTGAGGGCTAAGGGTATTAGCCAGAGACACCGTAAAACTGATGGAGCACCATCAGCGTGTCATACAGTAAGAATACACTCTCTGCCCCTCAGCAAACTGAAGGAGCTTGACTTGCAGAGAGAAGGGAAGGTTTTTTTTGTTTTTGTTTCTTTGGTTTGTTTTGAGACAGACCACCTCCTCACACCTTTCATTCAAAGCAGTATAGGATATGGATCAGTCTTGGATTGGGGACTGTGATTGGCAAGAAAGAAACTCATATTTGAGTTTGAAAATCAAATGATAATATTGCAATAGTCATAAATTAATAGAAAGAGATTCCAAATTTATAGACTCTACCCAAAATATCATTAAGGAATGACAAAGGCAGATTCAAAAGAGTGGAGCTACAAAAATCTTTCATCGATATTTCCCATTGAGATATTTGCTATAGCAATTGCATGAAAAAGTTTATATAGAGGAATGAAAAAGGCGGACCAATAGGACTTGTATCTAAATTTGATTTTCCTTGTTTAGTAAAATTATCTTTTTTATGCTTGTTTGCTATATATTTATAGTTTTGAATTCTATTTTAATTTTCTATCACAAAGATAGCTGTCAATAAGTTGTACAACATTCCCTAAAGTAAACTAGGTTTTATAATACTTTGATGTTCTTTGACTTACTCGTTGGCCTGCTAACTGCAAGGTCAGCAGTTCAAAACCACCATCTTTCTCTGGAGGAGAATAAAGATGAGGTTTTCTACCTCCATGAAGATTCACAGTCTCAGAAACCCACTGCTCTGTCCTGGAGGGTTCCTACTTCTCGGGATGGATCCGATAGGAATAAATCAAATGGTGAAACTTCAGTATACAAAAGTGTATTGAGCTGGTACCAACTTAGTTTTTAAAAGCATACATACATTAATATGAAAGCAAATGTGAGAAAAATAGCAAACAAAAAAGAAAGAAAAAGGAAAACTCACAAAGTATAGTTATAGCTATTGAAAATTTGGAAATTTAAAAACAGAAGAACATAAATGGATATGCTACTAAAGAAGCTTTTAATTAACAATGACCAACAAAAATTATTTTAAGAGAATTTCCTCTTGTTGTCTTGTTCTCAAGTAATTTGATCAGCTGCAGAAGTTTTAGGGAGGTAATGGAAAGGGCGATCTGTAGCAGACAGTTTAAGAGCATGACTTTCTTGTGTAGGAAAAGATCATTGGGAAGTAGAGGGGCAGCAGAGCAAGAACATGGTTTTAACCTGGCCTGGTTTACTCTTGGTTGGGAACCCCGTGGGGTTTTTTTGTTGTTGTTTTTTTCCCTTTATCTTCAAGACCTGATTTTATGCCTTACAGTGGAGTTTGGGGGATATATATTTTTTCTCTTCACTGCAGTCCTAGGCAGTTAAGAATGCACTATCTGCCCCTCAGCAGATAGTGACCTGACAGGTACACCCTAAAGTTACAACCAGGTGTTCAACCCTGCTCTTTGTTTTTGTTTTCACACTTAATTCGTGCTCATTTTTTGGTTCACTGAACCTGCTCTTTCCCCAAACTATGCCTCTCATTCTACAATCTTGCTCGTCTCAAATTTCTGCTAAATTGTCTATTTAATGAAACCATAGTCTTTTTTGATATTTCTTTAATTTTTTTCTCAGATATTTTAGAAATTTGTTTTGTGAGACTTTTCTGGTGTATCCCTTTAGAAAAGTCTCTTTTGACCATTCTTTCTCCCCGGTGGAGATACTTTTCTTTAGCCTAGATCATCCAGATCTAAGTATCCCTGTTATCTACTATTGCACAACAACCCTCAAAACCCTCTGTAATCCCTTATAGTCAAGATCCAAATTGATATGAAGGGGACTGGATGTAGTGGAGACCCAAAGTCCACCAGCAAGACAATTGGACCATCCCTTTTCATAGGGCCTCATGGGACAGAGGATAAATCCAGGGTGTAGTGTGGCACTGATGAACCACATAACTACCCTCTAGTTCTCTAGATTTCCTCCTCTTACTATTGTGGTCCAGATATGATATACCTCATTGGTCATGTTAGACTTGTGTATGTTCATTTGCTCTTTTAAGATTGCTCGGTATAGGGTAGTCAAGATTGGTGACCACCCAGAGATACTGACAGGAGTAAGGGTCCTCTAAGAGTACTGGAAGTGAAGGTAGCACTGATGATTGCATAGCCTCACCTGATGGGCTTGAACAGCCAAACTGTATAGGAAGGGAAGGGATAGATTGGAATGAGTAAGATATATCAATAAAAATATTTTATTCCAGAAAAAAATAAAGTTTCAACACGCTTGTTCTATGTGCCTTTCCCTAATAGTTTGAGCATTTGATAATTTTATTCCATGTTGCTCAGTGAACGACCTAGTACAGAGAAACAGAATGAGATGAAGACCTATCAATTTAGCCAAAAGAATATCCAAGAAAATCATTGGATTAATGTGACTATTGGATTGCCTTACATTGTTTCTAAGCCAGAATGAGTCTAAATCATCTTCTCCACGGCACCTCCAAACAGCTATCTGACTATTTAAGGTGCTTTTCGGTATCTGACAACTTGGACCATCAGAAAAATCCCTACTGTTCCACTCACCAGATAGCTGGCTGTAATATACTCATTCTCCATCATCTTCTACCTGTGGTCGGCTACCTGAGATACTGAAGATACTTTCTCAGGGTCCTTCTGACAGCTGCTTTCACCTCATTGTTCTTCAGGCTGTAGATGAGGGGATTCACCAGGGGAGTTATCACGCTGTACTGCACTGAGAAGATCAACTCCAAGGGCGAATCTGAGTTTGGTATGGCATAGCGAAGAAAAGCAGAGCCGTAAAATAGGAGTACCGCAGCGAGGTGAGAGGAACAGGTAGAGAAGGCCTTCCTTCTACCTGTGGAGGAGCCGATGCTCATGATGGTGGAGACAATGAGGGTGTAGGAGAAAATGATTAGAACACAGGTTCCAAGCCCATGCAGGAGGACAGAGCAGAGCATAACACTAACGTTGATGGAGACATCAGAGCAGGACAGCGAGAAGAGTGAGGGCAACTCACAGTTGTAGTGGGGGATGACCTTGTCCCCACAGAAGACCAAGTCCATAGCTAGAAGAATGTTGATGAATGCATCCAGAAAGCCTAGGCTCCAAGATCCCCACACCAGCTCCTTACAGAGTTGGTTGTTCATTATCTGCCCATAGAGCAGAGGGTGGCAGATGGCAACAAAGCGGTCATAGGCCATCACTGCAAGCAGGCAGGCTTCAGTCCCTCCAGTCTCATACAAAAAAAAAGCTTGAGCCAGGCAACACCCCATAGAGATTGTTTTTAATTGAGACAGCAGATTCTTCAGTAGCTTGGGCACTGTGACAGACGAGAAGAAGAGATCCAGGAAAGAGAGCTGACTCAGCAAGAAGTACATGGGCGTGTGGAGGTGAGAATCCACCCTTATAACCAGTAACATCAACAGGTTCCCTATGAGAGTTTGTAGGTAAACCCCCAGGAAGAACACGAAGAGCAGGGCTTGGATCTTGGGATCCGCTGACAGACCAAAGAGAATGAACTCGGTGATGGTGCTGTGGTTCCCCACGGCCATTTAGAAACTCCTTTATCCTGTAAAGAAGAACAGTAGTTAGACTGAACCCTTCTTGCTCTGCCTATGCCCAGGACATCCCTATCTTTTCTCTTTACATTCCCATCTCTTCAGTCTACAATTTATCATAAAGATTTTGAAGTTGTCCTCACTGACTTCTCAGGTATTTTCCCCTCCATGTCTGTCTCTGGGGTCCTGAACTCGCATGATCAGCTATGCTAGAGTTTTATTTCATGTTTATTCTTCTGCTTTTGTTGAATGCTGATCTATGCCACTTTTCTTTAATTGGGTTCATCATTTCTTGTGAAATACCAGCATTATTTTGAAAGTGGCAGCTTCACATTTCTGTTCTCATGTATCCATTATTTTTCAATACTTAATTCAACATATTTTTATAATTAATTAGTGTTTACATAGAACATATTATATTGTTCAGATTTTTGTTATTTGTATAGCAATGTTATGCATATTTTCCAATTTAATCCTGGGATAGAAATTAAGAGGCTGGTATCTCCAATTATGTGTGGGAGTAGGTGGAAAGGAAGTTAGTAGCAATAAAATAGGAGATGTCTAAACTATTTTACAGATGAGAAAATTGAAGGTCTCTGATAAAAATATGTATTTTCGCATTAGTTGAATTTGGATCTGTCTTATATCACTGTATCAGGAGTTTTTCCTTTTTTATCAAAATGCATCTTGGTCTCTGTCTATAAAATAAAAATATCTTTGATATTCAAGAGTCTCTATCATCTTATATTTACATCACTTCACACTCAGACCTCCAAGCATTCTCCCAAATGTCTCGCTGCCATTCTAAATAAAGATCATCTATGAAAATCACCACTAATAATGATTTAAATTCAGTCATTAGGGATTCATTCCATTAGAATTAATGTGCATTTACCAAAAAATTTGAAACAATTCTGGGAGACACAGCACATGAATCTGGCTTTCAAATTTACCTCCTTTATGAATACGGTGATTGCATGGTTTTGACTTCCCAATGTGCTCTTCTCCCCAGCACAGATTTGATGGTTGCAGCTTGCTCTAATCCTTGCAGGCACCTGAGCATGCATAGTTTGAACCCAAAGGGCAAGAAGTCAACTCTACCGATAATCACTCTAACCTAGGAAAGGCAAGTGTACTTCCTGAGCAGCTGGATACAATATTCCAAAAAGGGGAAAGCAAGAAACCAGTGACACAGAAAGGGCTCAGCAAAAGGAAGCACCCAAAGAAAAGATTTGCAGTGAAGAGCAGACTTAAAGAGGCCGGGAAAGAAGATTAAATGGGATAGAAACATAATGGGAAAAAGTTGTAAATAAGGAAGAAAAATATTCAGAGAACTCCTATTTCACTTACAAAGCTTCTGGCTTTCTCTGGGACAGAATGCATCTATTTTTCTGTCCTGTCTAATAGATGAAGGAATCTGGTGGCATAGTGGGTTACACTTTGGGCTCCTAAGGTCGGCAGTTCAAAAACACAGCTAGATATTGGGAGAACGATGAGGCTTTCCGCTCTCATAAGGAGACACGCTCAGAAAACCACAGGGACAGTTCTATTCTGTCCTACAGGATAGCTCTGAATAGGAACAAACTCAATGACAACTAATTTGGTTTGTTTTGTTTGATACATGAGCATTTCTGAGATCAGCACTTCTTCACATATTAAAGAACATTTTCTTCTAAGGCTGACTATATGAGCAGCATCTAGTAGGTTCTTCTTGTGGACTGTCACAAATACTCAAATAATAGAATTGTTCAAACTCTTGGTCATCTCAAAGGACATATATCCAGTATGGTATTCTTATCCTTGGACCTTTCTTCCCTACTAGCCACAGAGGAAATAGTCAACAATGGAAGTGCACATTTTCTCTCATTCGATCTCAGGCCCAGCAACTTAAACATGTCCCTATTTCCTTTTCATTGTAAATCTAAACATACTAGTAAAAATAACTGAAAACTTCATATCTAACCTTTTAGAAGAGTCCTTGTGTGATACAAATTGTTAAACACTTGCCCACTAACCAAAAAGGTTAGCAATTCAAACCCATTTAGAGGCACCTTGGAAGGCAGGCCTGGTGCTCTGCGCAGGTGGGGTCTACATGAGCTAGAATCAACTTGTTAGCAACAGCAACAAAGCCATTTGGAAAGGCACCTGTATTTAGAAAGAAGCCATGGTGGATCCACGGGTTAAACATTGGTTAAACTTTAGGATCACTAATTTGAATCCACCAGTTACTTTGTGGAAGAAGGATGAGGTCGACAGCTTCCATAAAGACTTACAGCTTCAAAAACTCTATGGAGCAATGACACTGTATCCTATGAATTAGAAGATACACTTGATGACAGTTGGTTTGGTTATATCTACAATGTTAGTCTTGGCTAGTGGAGCCTGGCAGCCCAAGGGACACAGAATGAAGCCAGGTTTTAGTTCATTAGCTAACTTATGGAAACTTTCAAGAAGTGTAGCTAATCTTCTAACAATTGGTAGTATGTTCTCTTTTATGTTGATGCAATGTTTCTTAACCCTCTGAGGAATTTATTGGGGAGTCTCAGTAAATAAAATATTCTTCTTGCTCTTTAAACACGTTTTGGACAACAAATTTAGCCACATGTATAAAATACGTTATTCCTTTTCATGAGAAAAAGTCAATCCAAACAAATTGTTTTATGTTTAACTTTATCTAATAGTATTGACTGAATGAATCACCAGAATTTTTTAATCTGGTAGTATCTTATTAAACTGCTATTCTTGGTAAAATTTCCCTTATATTTCCTTAATAATATTAAGGCATATAACTAAGACATGTTTTCTCTTAATTCTATTTCAAATATTTACCAAATATTCCCTTTCTCTTCTAGTGTCAGTATATTTTCTGAAAACAATAAGACATAATTTTGATGGAGAGTCTTCTATGTCTAAGTGGAATATATATGGCTGATTGGTATATATTCAACTATAAATATAAAAACACCAGTAACTATAAATGGTAAAGATACAGGTTATTATTATTGCCTTTTATTAAATAAATATTTTACAGCTTGTATTTGTTGAAGATATACAGATATAATATACTAAGGAAAACAAGTTTTAGTTGAAAATATTTTTTTTATATCAAGTAAGACATTGAAAGTTTTACTAGCACTAAAATAATACAATTAAGAGCTTTTGAGTTCTTCTTGAGATGGTAGGTTTTTAGAAAACGTTTGATTCATTGACTTATATAGAGCCCAAGGGGCACAACTACAGCCACAGAACAAACTAGTTCACTGCCTATGTTTGTAAATAAAGTTTATAGAAACATAGACCTGCTCATTAGTTTAACTGTATATAACTACCTTTGTGGTTAAAAAAAAACCAACCCAACAAACAGAATTCGATACATGCAACAGAGACTTAATGGCTCTCAAAATTAAAGTATTTTATTATATATCTCTTTATAGAAATGCCAATCCCTGATTTGCTGCGCCACTGCACAATATGGTAATGCCCAGGCACATGTGTTGGTTTCAATTAAAATGAAATAATATTAGATATGTAATTCCTATGAGTCATTAGCTAAATTTCAATGAATCGGTTTAGGCAATTTCTAAGAATTTGTTCATTTTGTCTAGGTTGGATGTTTTATTGGTGTACAATTACTCATATTATTCTCTTAATTTTTGTAAGACTGGTATTTAGATCCACAACTTCATTTTTTAATTTGGTTATTTACATAATCTCTTTTTTTTTCCTTTATCAGTCTAGCTAGAGATCTGCCAATTCTAAAATCTGTTCAAAGAGCCCATTTTGGGGTTTGTTGATTCTTTCTACTAAATTTCAATTCTCTATTTGATTTATATATTTCTGAATTCTCCAGTTTTCCTTTTGTTATAGAATTATAGTTTTATTATGTTGTTGGAGAATATACTTTGCATGATTTCAGGCTTGTGCTTATTAATATTTATATAACTAATTGCCCATGCCCTGGTGCATAGTGCGTTACTCACTACATGGTTAGCATTTTGAATCCACTAGTCACTCAGAGGGAGAAAGATAAGGCTTTTTACTCCCATAGAGATTTACAGTCTCAGAAATCCACAAGCCAGGCTACCCTGTCCTAAAGGGTCACTATGAATTGGATTTGACTTGATGGCAGTGAGGGTTTCTTTTTATGGGAATAACTTATTCATAAATAAGTAAATTTGTTTATACGTTTTTCTTTCAGGTTTTATGTGGCTTAACATATATCGCTTTTATCTTGGACAATGTTCAATGTGCCCTAGAGAACAACATACCATTGTTAGGTCAAGTACTCTATACATGTCTGTGAAATCTAGTTGCTTTACAGTACTGGTCAGTCCTCTGTTTCTTATTGATATTCTGTCTGCACGTTCTACACATTGTTGAAAGTGGTATATTGAAGTCTCCAATTATAGATGTGTCTACTTCTCCCTACAATTTGTTAATGATGCTTTATATGTTCAAAGTTCTGGTGCTTAATACACATATGTTTGCAATTTTTATGTCTTCTTGATGAATCTTTTATCAACATATCCTATTTTTGTTTCTTGGGACAATCTTTTTATTTAAAATAGCTAGTCTATATGATATCTATTAAGTATAACTGCATCAGCTCTCTTTTGGTGGCTGTTGCATGGATATTTTTTTTTCTTACTTTCACTGTCAACCTATTTGTCTTGGAGCTAAAGTGGACTATTTACATCTATCAATTTCTGTCTCTTATTTGATTGATTTATTTCATACGCACACACTGCTGTTTGCACATCACTGGGCAACAGAGCAGAGTGTGGCATCATAGTGGTCATATGCCATCCTCCGAACAAGCAACTTCAGTCCCTCTGGTGATGAGCATAAAGAATATTATCTGACACAGGCAGCCTTTGCTGAAATGATTTCCTTCTAAGATAAGCTATTTTCCCAGCATCTTAGAAACACACTGAAGACAAGATGATCAATGAAAGAGGTCACTCAAAAAATGTACATGTAGTGGAGAATAAAGA